TAAATAAATAATATATATATATATATATATATATATATATACACACATGCACAAAAACATATACCTATATATATATTTTTAAATTTCAGAACAACTCCGTAGTGAACAAATGATTGTTCCAGATCTTGCTCCAGGTGTGAAATGTGTGGTAGGTATTGTTTTTCTTACATATGACCAAACATGACTAAAGTTTGAATATGAAATACCTTTACATTGGTGATACAAGGGAATTTGGGTTACACATAGACTACCAAGTTTCTTTTGTTTGATACTAGTTATTTTATAACTGAAGCATAGTTACATATTAAAATAATAAATATGCAACACACAGTGTTAATATTGATACAAAATTAAAAATATTTCAAAAATATAGACTACACGTTTTTATGTTTATCATGTCATCTCCAGGTGTGAACTTTCAAGACATAAATGTCATATTTATTTCTTCTTAGCTAGATCATGTGACCTGTGTGTAAATTTACATTTCTGCATAAATTTGAAAATTCTTAAAAATAATAAAGTTTAAAAAAGATCATGAAATATTAAATAGAGATGAACGTCTAAAGAATATCTGTGTAAGAATGTCGCCTTCTCTTAGATTTATGCAGAAATGTAAACTTACACATGGGCCACATGATCTAGGTAAGAAGAAATAAATATAACACTTATGTCTTGAAAGTTCACTCCCGAAGATGATGTGTTAAATGTTGAAACATGTAAGTTCACATTTTACAAATGTTATTAATTGTGTATTGATTTTAATATGTGGTGTTTATTGTTTTAACATTATACATAAGTACCAAGAAAATAATAGCATACTGGCATATCCCTGTTAGCTTTACGTAGTTGTAGATACTGGAGATTCTATAACTTTAACATTTAAATTTGCCATTTATAAATTAATCATCTGAATTAATTTTGTTCCTTTAACATATATGTATGCATCATAAAGTATTCGCGATATGCTATTGCATATTTTCATCATATAAAAAAGGCATTTCTGTATTCTGTACGTTCTTAAGTAACATTTTCAATATGTTATCAGAGCTCGAGCTAACAGACGTAATTATGGTCTTAGTTAAACCCCAACTTGGGTGTAAAATGTGGTACTTTTGATGATATATAATATGTTTAAGGTACTTGTAGTACCATATAACTGATTTTCCTGAAGGAGTCCTAAAATGCAATATTGTTTTTTTACATGTGAACACTAACAGAAAATCTTTGTAGGTGTGAATAAAAGAAAAATGCAAAGAATGGCAGCTGAGTTATTAGAATATAATGGAATTTTTTCTATATATGTCACACATGAAAAAGGAAAGTTATATTAAAAAGCAGTTGAACTATAAGCATATGTGCATGCATAATAGCAAGCTATAAAGCAGTGTCAGTTAGATTTTGAGCAGTTACTTCAAATTTTTCAAGACAGTTAAAGTTATTGATACTTCATTCACTAGTTGGTTTGCGGCTATGATGTACCATTCTTTCAGGCTGATTAAAATGTCTATCCATACTAGTAACAATTCGTTGGAAGTAAAAATGTTGTATTTTCTCTTGGGAATCATACAGCTTTGAGAGAAGTATGACGTATGACAGAAATTTTAAGGAACATGCAAATTATTGATGATAGACAGGTGTGAATATTTATAAATATCAGTTATATTTCTCACAAATTGGGTCTGTGAAAACTGTTGTACTTTTTGTGTAGCATAAACATTCAGTAACTTTTAGACCTTTCATAACCATTTTTTTTTATCAATACAAACTTTTATTTAAACATCCCAAATTAATGTTTACAGATTTGTTTTTCATTAGTTGAGCTGTATAAATAAATACAGTGATACAATAGTTGCACACCATCATGATATTTTTAAGCTCTACTTTAAATATAATCATGTTATGATTATTAACTGTATCTTTCCAAATTGTTACAATATTTGTTTTTTATTAACCTTGCAAAAACATGTGATGGTGATCCTGTTGTGTGAGGATCCTCCAAAGCTCTCCTGATTCTTTGTTATTATACTTTTTCTTTTGAGTAGACATAGCACATCTAAACAACTTGTAGCATTCACAGTCATAACACTTAGTGAAAATACTACAAAAAATGAGCCACAACCTAAATGAAAGAATGTATGAATAGTTCACATTTCAAACAGTTGAGCTTCAAAAAATCATATAGTAGCTCGTGACACTTGCATCACCCTGTAAAAAGAATGTCTAACACCTAGACAATCTGACCACCATTGTGATTAGGTTGTTTAAAAAAAAAGTGTCAGATGTCACAGATGTCAAACATTCTTTAAAATGGCACATATTGAGACTGATGAAACTGTTTGAAACATTTTTGACAATGTGCTTGAAACCAAGTAACCCTTTTTGTGATTTAATAAGTGTTTTTCCTATAAACTTGGTATTACCATACTTAGTTTTTTTATTGACCTTTATTTTTCACTCACTAATGTAGGTGAACTTAGATGAAGACCAGAACTATGCTGGACATATTCAGGAAATGTCTCCAGACCAAGGACCAGTAACAGTATTCATTGAAAAGTTAGGAGAAAAGTTAGTATTTAGTATGTATAAATATATAAACATTTGACGTATAGGTTTGTGTGCTAATTAAAACATATATAATTGTGTATTGCATATTATGTATTTTCAGAAATAGAATGCATTACTAATGCTATAACCAAAACCATGACCTAATTTAAATTTGATATTTTTATCCAAATAAGTTCAAACTACTGAATCTATAGTTGTAAAATTTGTCAGTAATAAAGTATTGAAATGTTTACTTTGAAATATTGATGTATGACATTTTCTGAATGTTACATGTAGGCGTGTTGTTCCTTATGAAAATCTTCAGCCTCTTCCTGTTCCTGTTTTTAAAGGTGAGTAAGTTTAGTAAAATATAAACCATTTGTGAGATTTTCAAAAGAAATTATCTAAATTTACCTGCCTCTTCAGGTGGACATGAAAATGTAAAAAATGGACTTCTTATCACCATGGAAGTTAATTGAGTTAACTCAAAAATGTAATCTCATTGATTGAGAAAAGCAGAAATTACTTAATTTTACCTAATGAAAGGAATTACAAATGTGTGTGAAGAAACATTGTTCAAATTCTAATCTTGTATAGGCAGTCTCTTGTAAATTGTGCTCTTCATGGACCTGTTGATACCTACCAAATCTTTGAAAGAACATATTGTATTATTAAAACTCTTACTTCACATACAAACATTGTTTTTTAGCTTTGGTATTTTGTATTTGAAGGCACAAAATTAATAAAATGTGAAAGCAGTCCTATGTACTTAAAGTAATTAAAACAGATAAGTGACCAGCCTAGACTGTTCTTGTAAGAAATTAGGTATGTAAATTTCTGAACAAGTCTGATGGCCAAGTGGGGTGTCTCAGTAACTGCAAGGTTAAACCTATTCCATAGCATGTGATACCCACCAAACACCTTTAGTACAAAAGACTCTGAGCCAAATGGTGTGATTAAAAAAATGGCAAATAGATTGTCTTATCTAGTAAGAGACACCAGGTCTCGCAACACTTTCAAAATCTGAATATTTGGGCAAGTATTATAATTCAACAGGGTGGTGGTAGTGGCATTCTTAATTATCTATAAACAAATGAGGAAATTCACACACAAAACCTTAACACATAAACACTGCTTTCCAAGATGGGTTCTGAGGTATAACAGATCCGTTCCCATATACTTTGCAATGTATAGCACTGTCTACACCCAACCATCCCTTACACATATGGTGGCATTGTCCAAATTTCCCTACTCCTAATTTCACTCTTGTACATGCATGTACGCATGTTACTTTTATAATTATATAGATTCATTGTGCTGTTGTGTGCAACAAGGACTTTTACCTAGTTCCCTGTTTTCTTTTCATCTTGCTTACACACCAAGATTTATTTATTTCAAAAATTAATATGCAAAATCTATAAGATATATGATTGTATAATTTTCTGAAAATTACTATTTCCATGATTGTATATAATATTTTTTGCTCATTAAATTTTATTCAGTATATTCCTATTTGGTCTCTAATTTTCTTTTGGATTTGATACCTTTTAGATGTTTACCTTGTTCCTTGATGAAAGTCTCTTTTAAAGGAAAACATAAACTAGAAATTTTTACATAACTCGTACTAACTTGCATTTTTGAACTTGCAGCATTTGGATGGCAAGGTACTTCAAAGTCCTTCAGACTTTTTGGTGCTGCTTTTCAAGGAACTTTTGAAGTTGTTGGTAGGTAGATAATTTTGTTAACAAATATAACATGAACAAAAAATGGCCAGTAACTTTAATATTTAATATAGAGCTAATCTTCCTTTAAACTTTTAGACCACTAGATTTAGAAATATGTGATACAAATATATTGCTAACAGCTGTGGAAAAAGTCGTTTATTAGTACCATAAGATTCAGACTGGATAGGTTAAAACTACAAATGTTCAAGTAAAAAAATGTTGTTTATATTGTTTATTCAAGAAGTTATAAATTTTGTCTTTCATCGTTTTTGATGGCCAAAAATTAGAAACGTTTTGAATCTAACGATATTGCCATTTTATTAGTTTGAGAAGATTAGTTTTAAAGTTGACAACCATAGTTTGCCATTTTTTGAGCAAGTTTGTAGAATTGTTCAGTTTTATCTTGTAAAAAGTTGTTATTTATGCATATCTTTTAATTTCTAAATACAATTCACATATTTTATGGTGTACACACTTAACTAGTTAACAAAAAGATTTGCAGATTTAAACTTTCCTGCAAACAATCATTCTTTTACTTACATTAAATTATTTTTACTTGATATTTTTTCTTTTAATTTTCCTTTTTTTTTGTAAATATAATTTTTTATAACATTAATTTTATGATTGTTGTAAAATAGTTAGGTTTGTTAAATAGCTTCAATCTATTCTAATCATCATATATGTTATCTTAGATTCTCAGTAAGAATCTTTATACCTGAAATTCTTCTATTGTATAATAATTCTATTCTTCAAATAGACTGTCTCAAAAATATAAAACCAGTGTCGTATATAACATGGCTAACAATGTCTTTATCAGTTTTGAAAGATATGTACCTGTCTGAATATATTTGATTGTTCGTTATAACAAACCTTCCTCCTTTAGTCAAGGTGTAACCTATGGGTTATATAACACACTAAGAATTAGATTGGAAAGTCTGAGGTTTGAACCATGATGATCTCCTGAACATGTTTCACACTTTCAGCTGCAGTATTGCAACTATTATACGGTGAAGAGTATAGTTGCTTAAATGGCAGGTGCTGTTAACTGGTTGCTTTTCCTTCAGTCTTCAGTTTCAAATTACAGATTTCTATACCTGAACCTTAGGATTTCTGACTTAGTTGCTTATCTTGTGTTACGTGAGGTGCTGTTCAGGTTGAAAATGTTTACTTTCTTGTCTGCATTTATTTCGGGAAATTTTAAATCTAAAATATTTTCTTTAGAGCACATATGCTGCTACAGTATATTTTTTTTAGAGTTTAATAGTTCTTTATTTTGAAAAGTTTATTTCTGAACTGTTATTAGTAACTTTACAATTTGAAACTGGGATCTAACAGTGTCACTGATAGGTATATCTAAAAACCTGTCTAAAAGTAATAATTAATGATGTAGAGAATAAAGCACACACTTAAATAATGAAAGTAGAGGTTTACTTGTTTTTTAACCTTATTTGACGATAAATCTTAAAATTAACTTTTGAAAGTTTGTTATAGTAGTTAGTTTGTAAAAATTTGTACTAACAATATAATTGCAGTTTCATTCTCAGTTGATACAAACTTTAAAAAATTATTCTCCTCATTAGAAGCTCTTATAAATGTTCATTCCATCAATCATTGAAATTCAATGCATTTGGAAACTTCATTCTCAAGTGCTTCTTCTCTGAACATTTTCCTCAGCATCTTTAAAAGTTTATAAGTAATTTATAAAATATAGTTTACTATAACTTGTTTGGTTTGGGAAAGTTGATCACTCGATTAAAAGGCTGCATTTTACTTCTTTTCTTCCTATGTTTCTTATCAAGATTAAAAAATGTCATTGCTTCTGTGTATTTGACTTTCAATTACATTTAATTGATTTTTTTTATCTCTTATGTTTTATTGTTATTATGTAAAGTCTAGTTCTGTTTAATAAGCAGGTAGATCATTAGCTTTCATTTTACATAGAAAAAGGAAAAAGAAAGTTTTCGAAGAAAGGGAAAATGAAGGTGAGAAAAAGTTTTACTATTCAGCATTGAAAATATAGGAAGAGCATTATAGTAGTTTATGTATATATGTTGTTAATAATCGGAGAGAAAGGTCTTCAGTGAAGTGGATTAAAAAGGCTGTATACTGATAGGTAATATTAGAAATTTATTTCTAACAGTTTCATATTATTTGTGTAGTTTTTAAATTGCACACATACCAAAACAAAATACGTATTTGTAAGTTAACAAACGAAAACACTTTTTTTTTTACCATGCAGTAATGCACTACGTGTGTTTAAAGTTTTTATTGTTAATCCAGTTAGTTACAGCATTTATTTCAGTGTAATATATATGTGAAACTAGTTATGTACCTACATCTGTATTATGTGAATCACACTTTCAAAATAAATATATTTTAACTTCCATTGAGCACATGTTATTCACTTCCTTTTGTTTGCTCTTAACAGTAGAATCTCACTGAATATTTTTGAGTTATCTTGACAAATTTAAACTTGTTAATATGAAAATGTAATACAAGTGGTTTATTAGTTTCATTACTTTTTTTTGAAGGTGGTGATAATACCAATGAAAGTTTAACTTAAATTTAGCTGATATAATAAAAAAAAATTGGATTTTATCTTATAGAGCTGAAGTGAAATCTAAACAAATTGACCATGTTAACTGATTCTTAAACCTAATTTTTCAAAAATAAAATATTTGCTCAAAGTTCTGTCATTAAGCCAGTTTTTCACCTTTTTTTTTTTTAATTGTTGGTGGTACTGGTGTGATGCACAGAGTAAATTTGTTTGTTCTAATATTTAACATGGCCCAAGGTTAAAAGTGTGTACAGCACATATTCTGATAGTATATATGATTTAGCAAAATGATGTAAAATGAGATGTCTTAAACTCAATTATTGATTACTCATTTGGATGAAAATCAAGTTTGAAATGTAAAATTAGTAGTTGGGTTTTGATTGTCAAAAAATAAATCACTTAAAGTTCACCCTGTTAAACGAAGTTGGATGTCACAAATCTATCTATACACTTTAAACTACACTTGAATTTGTTCTTTTCTATGTAACAGTTGAAATTTGTTTTAATTGTTACAGCTACAAACAAAGTAAATTTTTTTCACTAGGTTAAATGGTATTATTTTAAACAACTAAATTATTTTTAATTTTCATAAAATGCAAAATTTCGTTTTATTTTACCAGTCAATGTTATTATAATAATGTATATCAATATTTTATGCTTTTTAAATACTACAATGCAAAATTGCTCTATTATTAAAAATTTATAATTTTTTAATAACTGAAATGTTGCTTACTAGAATATTTTAGTCTTAATTTAATTGAATATCAGAATTTATGCTTTTAGAAATATAATCAGTTATGTTCCCTTATCAGACAATTCTTACAAAAGAAATTATAAATATGCTGTCTTAACAATTTTTTACTTGTCATCAGTTATACAGAAAAAAAACAAAGCTAAAACTAACCTTAATCTTGAAACTATATTCACCCAAATATTCATCACTCTAGAAAACAGGTTCACATTAGCAATGTTCATTTAAAACTGTTATTTTAATGCTGTACTTATGTTAAAATGGTCATAATACCAAGATTACAAGTTCACAGAAATTACTTTGACTTTTTAAGAACTTTAATGATTCTATCATTTGGTGAGAAATACATTTCCACTCCATAAAAATTAGTTAGTGTTAAACAATTTGAAGTTTTTCTACTTTATATTTGTAATTACAAAACACAAAGCTGGTATTATAACTTTGCAAACACCCAATAATTTTTGTAAACTGAAACAACATGTTCTGTAATATCCTCTCAAAAGTGTTTGTCAATACATGTGTCAAATGATAAAATGCAGAATCCACTTACATGTATTACTTTAGTTAGTTGCAGTTGAAACTGATTAATTGGATGGTGTTGATGAAATAATATTTTGCTTGTGGTGTGTAAGGTTTCAGAATCATGTCATGATTATTTTTTAATATTTTATGAAAGTATATAGTTTGGCAGCAAAATTACAATCTCTATATATAATATTTAGTGCAAAATTTATCTGAATTATATGTTTGAATGTTGGTGACTTCTTATCTATAGAAACAATTTGACATAACTGTAATTTCACTTATGAAAGGTGATTGAAATATACCATTTGCAATAAAACATAACTTTCATAAAACTAAGGTAAATTACTATTGTGATAACACAAAACTATATAATCAGCATAATAATACTTGCTTAAAAGTGTATTGTTATCATAAATTCCTTGAACACTTATTTTACTACCACTGTTGTAATGAAAATTATATATAGGACATTGCAAATTTCATGTAGAAATAAGATATGATAATATACAGTGTAAATGATAGGTTAAGTAAGACCATACAGTATTACTTGTATTTTAGAGACTTGATATATATTTTCATAAGAAAAAGAAGTAGGTTATATAGTATTGTAAAAAGAAAGATAATCACTGTGATAAAAGATGTAATGAAATTGTAAATAACAACGGTGTATGTAATAATATCATGGTATATATATATCACTCATGGTGTTTGTTAAAAAATGTTTATCATAGTTATCTATGTAACCATAAAACTACTGTATATATATCATCTTATTGTGTACCCAACATAAAACTGATTGTGTTGTATTCAGTAATAAAACTACAACATGGATCACTCGTGGAGCATGCAGTAAGAAAACCATAGTATATATATCATTTTAGTTTGATGGCCTCCATTTCCTTAAACACTCTGGCTGAGGATCCTTATCTACTTACTTAATAGAAATTTTCAATTATAATAACTCTGAGGTACCCGTTATTTGTTCACTGAAAGAAAAATATCTCAAGTATACATAATGCTGTGTAGTCATACTTATTATAGTAAATAAAATTCTCACTGGAAATACCTCGTCCATTGTTAAATAAGTTTTAAAGGGAATATTTCTACATGTACTGAGGCCACACTGCTGAGACTGTCATGTAGACCACAGTTTGCGGAACTCTGGTATACACATTCATTATAGTGCTTGCAGCATATAAAGGATGGTATAATCTTTCACCATGGCATATGCAACATTAGAGACATGGTAGACATCACTCCTACGTGTATATTCAGTGATAGAAATATGGTATACATTACTCACTGAAGTTTGTGCAATGTTAAGAATATGCTACATTCCACTCATGGTTTTTGCAGTATTAAAAATGGTAAACATCTTCAAGGTGCTAGTGATAAAACCATGATATATTTCAATCATCATGGTGTATGCAACATTATAACTATGGTATAAAGATATATAAATTGTATATATGATATGAGTATCCCATAGCATAAATAAAGTGATAGTATGCATGTAAAACACAACAATTTTTAATGTACATGCAGCTATTATTTGTTTACTGAGCCAGATGCAAAGTATATATATTTCATTTTTCATAAGGTAGTATAATGCACTATACATTTTTATGGTATTTATTAATATTTTCATAATGGTGGGCTTGCATAATTTAATGGTTTATGGATGGAAGTGTCTTTGCTAGAACATAAACCATTATGTAGAGACTGCACTTGATATTTTTTTTTTATATACTGTTGTTTTGAATAATTCATATTTTACCAGTTAGGCTTGATGTTTGAAGTAAGTTTACTTGCACAGACAGTTTACAAATCCTGTTACTTCTTTTATTCAGGAATTCCCCTTGCTATTTCCGTTTATGCAAGGTGGAACTTTACCATTTAGCATGGGATTCAGTCAACAGCAGCTTCATCGCCCTCCAACAGTAGTGGCAGCACCAGCACTAAATACAATTGAGCCCCTTCCTAGTGCAATATCAAATGTCAGGTAGTTATGTATATTCCTGCTCTTACTCCATTTTTTGATTAAAACTAGCAGAAGCTATTAATGAAAAGATAACAAAAAAAAATCTTTAATTTTTGAAAACAGTTTTTAGTAGGCAATGAATTGTGGTTAATAAGAGGAAATGTGTATAATGAGATTAATGAGGTCAAATTTGTTCTGTTTTAGCCAAAGCTACTTCATGGACTATCTGTTTACCATAGTGAATTTTACCATGTATTTTAGTTATAAATGCATAAATTTACCACTGACCCACTTGGGGACAATATGATCAAAATGTATCCAGTCAATATGATTACGTGTTCGTGATGTTGTAATCCTTTTTCTGTTATCAGATTGTCACTAATACTATACATTATTTATGGTACCCATCTATAGAATACTGATATGATTGGCAATGAAATTATTTATTTAATGTCTATACCTAAACATGTATTCTTTGATCCTACTCTAGTTCATGCACAACTGAGAAGGTAACTTAGAATGTGCAATATTTTTAATGGTACATGTAAGCACAAAAATACACGGATTAATATTTTATGACTTGAGAAAGAGAGAAAATAGTTATCACAATTTTTAAACATTGGTTCATAAAATAGAAAAAAAATATACCAGTGTGTCTTGTGTGTAATTTGGAAAAGATGAGGTATGAGAAAAATGCTCTTTTAGCAGTTAAAAGAGTGCATTTTTGGGTTGATAATTAAGAGTTGCTGTATTCAAAATGAGAAGAAAAAGTTTATTTGGACATAATTGGTTTTTCAGATGTTATACGTGGTCAAGTGTGTGTCATCATATTTCTTGGATGGACTTAGAATCAACCATACACAAGTTGTGATAAAAATTGGATGTTTTTTTTTCACTGTCAGAACATGTTCTGTCTTTAAAGACAAAATATAATACATGCTCAGTAATAACATATTATTTAGAATATATATTAGTTTTCAGAACTTCTGAGAAGGTTATTAAAGAGTAACTTGAACAAAAGAATAAAAATATGAGATGAATGCAAACAAATTCCATCAGTTATTTATATAAAAATTGAATTTGTTTGATTTATCACAGGTAATTATTTTGCTTGATTGAACTGTCAACACTTATGTGGCATGTGATAGGTCTCAGTTTCAACTCTGTGGGTAAGAAATATATTGTGAAAAAATAAATTACAACATTAAAATAATACTTGCACATACTGAAGTGTGTTTTTATGTTAAGTGCTGTAATTTGTAATGATAGCCATGTATGGCAGAAATTGTTATAGTTCAGTGAACTGTAGGAATTCCAGGGAAATCAGTACCACTATGTTAACTCACAAGTACCAACAAAGTTAAATAGATAATCTTTTGATTACCATCATGGTTATATCATGTACCCACATTTCTTAAAGTTTCATGATGTATGTCCTTTGATTAATTTGTAAAATAATTATAGGATTTCTTATGATAGCTAAAATTCAGTAATCAAACACAAGTTCTTTGGATAATTTAAATGGTTGGACACAAAATTTTCATATACTAGTTTTCATGTCTGATATCTTAGTAATTGGATTAAGTAAGTATTTAGTGAAAATTTGACTAAGATTTAAGTAAGTTTAATACTGCTAGAGAGCATACAGTTCAAAATGTCTTGCCAGAATATCAAATGCTCACATATTTCAAATAAAAATGAACTAAAATTACATAGTTTTTGTGACAGTTTGATTATATATATAGCTGTGAAAACAGACTTTATCTCAACCACTATGTAAATGATATATGACAACCATGGCTACACATATTCACTCAACTCAAGGAATTCCAGTACATAACAGAGAGAATGAAAAGAGACAACAGATTCAATATAAAACATTTGTTGAATATCAGGTAAAAATATTATGTATAGAAAATGGCATTAACATGTTCATTACTGCATGACATTCTAGCATACTGTTACTGGATGGGTATCTGGCTAGTGTCTTGAGATAGGACTAAAGTAAAGCTCACTTGTTAGATTGTTGTTGTTGATAGGTTTGTGATATATACCAATAGAATATTTGATTTGACTCTAGACATGATGTGGTTTTCTGAAACTTCCCCATCACATGTATGTAGAAGGTTCTTAGCAGAGAATTTAGTAATGGCTGTTTCACAAGTATCGTAGGAGGTGTAACACTTGTCACCCAGTGACTATAGTAGCTTAACTTGGTATTTCCTCAGTTGAAACTGTGGCTAGAGTTGTACTGTTTGAATGAGTCAACTATTCTCCTACAGACCAGAATGTATATTTCTCAAAACCCACAATTATGTGCTTTAATTATATGAGCTGGAGATGGCAGTTAGTTCTGTTGCTATATTTATATTTGCCATGTCCAGTAAATGTTTCTTTGTATTTTGCCTCAGAGATCTGGAAGAAAATTTACTTAAATTTGTTGAACAAAATATAAATGTGCTGTGCATATATTATTGCATGATTTTTAGTTGTAGCTCAACTAACAATACATGCAAGTATTCTAGATGCTAATACCTAATTGTTAGGATAATAGTTAATAATTCAAAGTTGTAATTTTTCTTTTTTCTCTCTCTCTAAAATCTGTAATGTTATTATAGTATTTAGAACAATGTTTTACTTCCTGTTCCTATATTTTTCCTGTTGCACATTAATTCAAAATCGTAAATTACTTATATTTTCTTAACACAACTATTAATTACATAAAACCTTTTCAAACTTAATATCCAGTCACTCAGTCTATTAACTCTTTGATTATATTAGTACTTGTTTTTATTTATTGTCCATTTTATAGGATAAGAATTACTTTTTTACTGATAGGATAGTAATTGCTTTTTAGTATAAGGTTGATAAGATAAATATCAACTTGATATCTGAGTTACCTTTCAATGATCCAGTAAAAACTTTTACCAAATAATCAGCAGCTCATTTAGTTATACATGTATTATCATTAAAACTTCCTATAATATAAGCTATGAGATCCATATTAATACCTCGGCATAGTAAGTTTGAGAACTTGTATGGACTGCAACTGAGGCGTTGCCCAGCATGTCCGGGTGGTTAGGGTGTTTGACTCACAATCTGTGGGTCACAGGTTCTGAGCTTCGTCACATCAAACATGCTCACCCTTTCAGCCATGGGGGCATTATATAGTGATGGTCAATCCCACTATTCATTGATAAAAGAGTAGCTCAAGAGTTGCTGGTGGGTGGTAATGACTAGCTGCCTTCTTTCTAGTCTTACACTGCTAAATTAGGGATGGCCAGTGCAGATATCCCTTGTGTAACTTTGTGTGAAATTCGTAACAAACCAAACACATGCAACTGAGGCCTTTTTCAGGACCTCAGTATAGAAGCCAAAACATCATTCCCTTTTCATTCATCATGCAATTGTAAGCTAATAAGGTTTTCAAACCTGCTGTGTATACTTTGTATAAAGTTCCACACTGAAACATTACCTTAGCATATTTCAGTTCTATCTAACACTAACAGATGCAATAATTTTTATAATATAAAACATCATTGCCACTTTTTAGTTTCACGGTATCAAAAGTTTTATTATTTTTGATAATACTTTCATTATTAAGGCACTTTATACTAATACTTATTTAATATTCTTTTCTCTGTCAAGTAATATTTTATGAAGTTTAAAAGTACAGTTTCTACATTTCCTTGAAAGCTGCTATCAATTAATTTTACTGTAGTGCATACAGTGATAAAATATCTATGAACTGGTTTATACTTATGTTTTTTACTGCTGATCCAATCAGTTTTTGAGAATCCACACAAAAAATTACAACCTCTGGCTTTTTTTTCAAAGAAACTATTATAATCTTTCAGTTTTAAGGATCATTTTTAATATCATATTAATAAATTTATCTTAAACACTTCCTTGTTCATTTCTGTACTTCCAGCATATCCTATATGGTCTGTATGGAATCCAAACCTTATTGTTAACATCATTTTCTGCTTTATCATATTTTTTCAAGCTGTGATCCAATTTTATTCATAAAATGTCTCTACTGTTTTGTAAATGATAATTTACTTTTGTTTTAGTCTGACATCCTTTATTAAATCCTTTTTAATGATTTTCATAAAACCGTACTCTTATTGTTTACAGTGTAACAAGTCCTTTATTCTACACTGAGAATAATTTCTGTTTTTCTCTTTATTTTTTGTAGCTTTAACAACCTTGTTTTTATTTATATTGCATATTGCTTCTTATATGTCTGCCCCCCAGTGGCACAGCGGTATGTCTGCGGGCTAGAATCCGGGGTTTGATACCCATGGTGGGCAGAGCACAGATAGCCCATTGTGTAGCTTTGTGCTTAATTACAAACAAACTTATGTCTTGAATCTACTGGCATGTATCCGTTTTTCTTCTAATTTATTGTTGCTACATATTTGACTAGTGCTTTTAATTGTTGCCTAGACATTACATTAACTTCCTTACGTTTAACTTCTCAGGAACTCTGCTGTACATTTCTATTAGCTCTAGTATATTTGTAGCTTTTCTGTTTAAGAATGTAAAGTTTTGGAGTTATTTGAAATTCTGAATGCTGCATTTCATACATTTCCTTTGTATGAAATTGTTTGTTTTTATAAGAATACTAAATTCTGCTTTTGTATCTAATAGTTTGTTTTTAAATAGAATGTTCTGTTTACAGTGGAAAACTTCATCAAGGAAATTCTCAGGTTCCGGTTGTTTCATCAGTGAATAATACCAATCAACAGGCCACTAATCAGTCTGGGGGTACAAACATCCCTGCCTCTCAGGTTTGTCCAAATTGATGAGGCTAATGAGAAAATATCCCACTAAATTTTAGATTAAATTATATTAGTTAATACTTGTATATCACTATAAGCCATATATTCAGTATAGTAATTTTTGTTCTGAAGCGGGACCTGTATTAGCAGTCATTAATCTTATAATAATAATAATAATAATAATAATAAAAAAATTAAAAAAGATTAAAAGAATCAAAAAAGTTGCACAATAGTCAACAAAAACATTTGCTTATGTAAGTGACTAGCTTACTTTACTCTTCATGAAAGTTACCTAGAAATATTGTAACTTTTTTATTGTATATACTAATGGTTATTTACTTATTAAAAAAAAGAATTTGGTACCTGAGATGTTTAAACACAATAAATGAATGTAATAACTGTTATGTGCATGCAAATGTATGTATAATTTTTATATATATCCTTGATTAATGTTAATACTGAAATCAGGTATATTTTTTTTTATTAAAGAACAAGGTTATCATTACTTAATGGACTGTAATTAGTTAACTTAGTTATTATTAGTTAACTAAATTATTATTCTAATGTTGAAACTAATCTACTTTACTAACTCCAGTTAAATAATGCTATGTTTTGGCTGCTAATGCTCTACCACTATCTGAATTATAGTTGGACTAGGTATTTGCTCATTAATAGAAACTTCGAGTGTGTCTTTCAGTGATAATCATGTTCAGCTAATTTTACTGCTTGATTTGTGTGAGGATTCTAAGCAAGATGGATATGGAATATTTCTTTGATTTTCAAATGGATCTTGACAGTGGTGTTGTATGTAACAATTGTGATCTTAGGGTGTTATTAGTGTTTAAAACTCCTGAATAAGTGGATTCCACAGATTATCTTAATATATTGTGAAAGCTAGATCTTTCACATAAAGGGGTAAGTGACTGTAGGTTGTTTTCTGTTTAAATACTATTACATTCATGTTCAGTCTTCAAAGCGTAAAGACGAACATGTGTTCATTAGTGGTTTTTTGTGATGCTTCTTAATGTTTTTTAAGTGTTAAAGACTTGTACATCCTAGAATTGCTGATGTCCGTGACTTCTTTCTCTATACTGTTATTGTGGTTTGATGTGTAGTTTATAAGTGTGCCAGTCTAATTTAGCTTTCTGTACATCCCAGTGATGAGGTGTTCCATATTCTTGTGACTATTTTATATAGGAAAACATTATATTACCTAATTCTTCTTCTATGGTGATGTAATTGGTTGGTTGCTGATTACTTGGGCTAGAAAGACATGGACTGTACAGATCTTCCAAATCACAAAGATTTCATCAATGTTTCTGAGCCAACAGTTTGATATAAGTAGAGGTCTTTCAATTCTATCCTTTTTACATCCATTTTGAAATACTATTTGAATGGATTGCAAAGTGCAGATAATAGGAATGATCCAATTTTTTTAATATTTTTTTTGGATAAAATGCAGATCCATGCTGAAAGTGAATTTCTGGCTGTTGATATTAAAGGTTCTGTGTGATGTGATCTGGTTTGTAGAAGAATGTCACTAGGTTGGTTACGTTGAAACTAACGAGGTTATCTTGTGGCTCAGTGTACTTATGTTGATTGTATTATGTTAATGAAATGTTTAGAATTCTGATCTTAGGAAGATATCATGCTTGTTAAATATTATGCTGACCAGGTGTTATAGGTAAGGGACACTAAGGTGATTTCCTGCAACTTAAAATGAACCAACGAGAAAAACATTCTTTGTGTTTTTTGTTGGAGACCCTATATATGTGGGGTTTTATTGTGATGAGCTTTTAGCTGTTTTATGTATTTTGGTTCTAATTTATATGAGTTCTAAAGTAATTGGTTCATCATTTTTCCTAAGTTGATTATTTGGTTGTTTTTTTAAGTGTGTATAACTTTTGTTGGAGAAGAGGTGTTAGAATTTTATTCATCAGTAGTATGACATTACATTTTGTCAGAAGGTAGTAATTTTGAGTTCATGTTTAACTTTAATGTGATATTTAGTTTTCTTCTTGGGGAATTTTTACAGTTAATTAAGAATTCATCTCGTTCTTCTAGATTTTGGAATTCAGTTTTAAAACCTTTTTTGTGGAATAGTACTTTTATTGTGAATGTATGGTTTCTGTAATTAACAACTGTTTTGGCTGGTACGTTTGAGACATTTGTTTGTATCTGTTCTGCTGAAATATATTTAATTTCCTTATGTACATACACAGGCACCTAATCAATCCATGAGGCAGAAGGGGCACTTGCTCCTTCACTTTGATTCTAAATTCTAAATTTTTTATAAATTATAAAGTACCCATTAAACACTTTATGCTGAAATGCCTGCTGTCCTGTTTTGTGGATTTACACTTACTAAGATCTTTGGGAAGGGTAGACTTGGATATTATGTTCCATAATGAATTGATACTGAATTGTAAGTTTAGTTGTTAAGTTTCAGATTCATGATTGAAATGAACAAGTATTTCTCTGAAGATTGCAGCATATTAACAGCTGAAATAGTGTTAGCATTAGTATAAAAGTTAGATTAATTTAAATATTATAAAAGTAATAATAATAATTTAGTCAAATAACAAGGTAATTATTGGACACTAATAATGTAAGCCTTCACTAAATATTCTTGTCCTATTTAAGGTTATAGCTCTGTTTTATTACTTAAGTGGTTTCAAACTCTTAAGTTTAAAATTGTGTGACACGTGATGGATTTTAATCAAGATATACATGTATAAAAACAGGACTTTTTTTTTTATCAAAGTAAAATTTCTGTTTATTTTGTCAAAATCTACAGGGAATTGGTTCTCCTGGGCAGAACTTGTTTCATACTTCATGGAATATGGTGACTCAGAACATACAATATTGTCCAGCAAATGGTATGAAACTACCTTAAAATATTCTACTACAAAAAAAACTGAATATAAAAATCAAATTAAGTTATGACTGTCATTATAGAAGTAGAATAACTGACCTACTTCTTTTTCTTCCTTTTCTTTTCAAGAAAAGTTCTGATTTTTATTTAAAATCTGCTATATAGGGCTGATTTATAAAGAGTTTGTACATTAAATCCAATAAATGCATTTTCATAGAAAATTCTTTAAAAGCTTTTTGGGTTATATCTTTTATAAAGTATTTTTGTTTTGTTTATGTATTATAACTACCTAATAGATAGTTGTTATAAATTATTATTTCATTAAGTTATAAGATAAACATATTTAAATGTATTTTTTATACATTTTTCAAATGGTATTATAAATTTTATTTGTAAGTTGAAGCACCTGAAAGTTTATGATAATTTTGCAAGGTTGCTCACTGGGTGAAAAAGCCTTGAAAAACATGATTAGTAAATGAAAGTTTTAGAGAATTTTAATTATAGGATGATAAAACCTTAGAAAAGAAAAGTTAACCTTTTATAAATCAAGAAACCATGAATAAGTTTATAACATAAAAGAAAATTCGTTTAAAACAATAAAAAAATTTATTTAATGAACAATGACTAAAAATGTTTTCAAAACTAAATAAATGTATCTTAAAGTTTCTGCTGTCATATTTTTTTCATCATAGAATACACCTAGAAAAACCTGATTGATTAATTATTATATCAAACCTTGTAATCTGGCTTGAGAAATGAACTTTAAAATACATTTAAATTATGTTAATACTATTCACACAAATCATATTTGAGAACAGATAATTTCAGGAACTAGTGTTAGAAGGCCCTTTAAACACCAGTGTGAAGTGCTAGCCAGTTTTGGTTAAAGACAATAAATGGAACTTTTCCTCAGGGCTGATTCCTGAGTAAAATAATGCAGGGTTTGGCATTATATATATATATTTCTACAGAAACTATTTGTTTTAACACCTGCCACATGAGCCAGCCCAGCACCTTCTAGGACTGAGCCTAGGATGTTCAATGGAGGGTCTTTCCAGAAACTGGTGATTTAGGGTTATTTCAATAGATCTCAATAAATGAAGCTGGACACAACTTCTAAAACGAAAAAAACTAGATATTAATGAAAGTATGATATGATGGAAATCTAGATGAATTAAACTATGGTGGTACCATACTGGGCATTATACCATCCTTCTTATATTTACTCTTCATGCATTGCAAAAAATGACATTTTTAATTTGAGAATTGCTAGGGAAATCATCTTGTAATGCATCGTGCATCTGCTTCAACTTCAACACTGCATCTCTGAGCTTTACAGTGCCATTAGTTTCACAGAATATTGAAACTAATGATTATTTTATATATGATTCCAATCCCCCTTTTTTAAGATAACAATACTATTAGGCCCATTTTTCTATGTTTTGTTGTCAATGCAGTAATCAATTGATGAATCCCTGATTCAGCTGGTATGTCAAATTGATTGGGATATCTTTGAATAAGTTCTTCCCTCAGTCAACCTGAATCCACGGTTTAGCTTAATCACTACACTTAAACCATAACATTCACAACCACATCTAGAACCTTTAAAGCATGTTCCATTGCTACATCATTTTACTTTACATTTACAAATTTACTTCTCCATATTGGCTATCATTGTCTCAGGTCATGGGTCTGGTTCAGTGACCTAGACCTTGAAAATAGTGCCAAACGTGTTTTTGTTTTCTAATAAAAACAGCCTAAGCCTTTCAGGAATGACTCATTTTTTGGTTACACGTCAAGATGCCAGGCTGGCTTGTGTAGCAGGTGTTAAAACATTTGAAGTACGTTTGACATCTTACACATAAAACAGGAAAAACTTTTTTTTTCGTCATCTTTGGGATACATGAGATGGCTATATATGAGTTTGCATAACGTAGCACTATATGTTACACTGCTAGATTTATTTAGAAAGAGATTGGGTTAAATAAAAGAATGGGAAATGCATCAGATAAAGCAGGTTGTAAGTTGAGGTTTATGATTTTTTAAAAATTTATAATCAGAATTTGTCAATTTTACTTGGCTTTAAGGCCTGGGCTTGTTGTCTATGGCACCCTAGTGTGTGTTAGGCTGCAACTTGAAAGGGTTGGGTTTGAGATGTGACATATCTGAACACCCACCACTCTGGTCATGATATAAATGTGACAGTTAATTTCATTATTCAGTCCAAAACCTTTGTGGAAGTGGTTGCTGCTGAATGACAGTCTTCCCTCGAATCAATAGTTCAAAATTAGGAATGGCTGTACATCAATTCCAGGGGTCTCTAACCTACTCATTTAGCTTGGATGATAATGTACTGTTTGAAAATTCAAATTCCAACTTTTTGATAGAGTGATATGATATCTTTGTTGTACTTTACTTTTTAGCATTTTTAACTTCTTTAGTAACAAGAAAATTGTAAATTACTGATGCGCCTTGCAAGAACTGTGCTTATGGTTGACTTATTCCTCCACTAATAGTTTTTGCATAGAAGTTAAGAACACAAAATAATTATAAATCATTTCACTATTAAATAGCTTGGAATGATGATATTTAACTTTTCTTTCTATGAGTCAAGCAAAGTCAGTGTTTCAATATGCACCAGCAAACAGTGTGCGCGCACACACACACACACACACATCAGGGCCTATTTGGGGGGGGGAGGCAACTTGGCCATGGCTGAAGGCCCCGTGCCACAGAGCCCTGTGGGTCTAATGAAAATAAGTGTTTATTAGAAAAAAATAAGCCAATTTTTATTTATCTAGAGTGAAGCAGGACAGTTTAACATTAAACTCCATTTACATTGATGCTAACAAAACAATAATACATAGACGCAACAACAAAAGATGGTGCACCAACACAATACATAGTTCGCAAATGCCCATTTTGAAATCTGTAACACCACATGTTTGCGTGTGATTTGTATGATACAGATAAAGTATGATTTTCATTGGTAGTTAAAATATGTGAAATGTTATTTTTATGTAAAAAATAAATAAAATTAGATATTGTTTTGAGTAAAAAATTGACAGATTTTAAAATTATTTTAATTATTTTACTGCTGGGCTGTGAAGAGTAGTTGGAAGATGCAATGCCAAAAATCACACAACACAATACATTGTATAGGTCCCGGGACCCCAGCCACCCCACAATCCCATCTGGCCCAGGGCCCCACATACCCTAAATGTGCCCCTGTCATACATATATGTGTGTGTTTCATTTGGGGGGGGGGGGAGTGTGAGTATTTATTCATCATCACTTTAGTCTTACCTTTGTCCGCAGGTGGTACTTCTATATTCGTGTGTGACTTCATTGTGTTGGTTGGTTTACTTGTCAGATACCTTTTAAGGCTAATGTGTGAAATAATTAAATAATTCTAGTTACTAAAATTTCAAACGTAAACATATGACACTTCTGCTTCTTGACCCAAATTTAACTCCATAAATTTTTTATTTGTTACATTAGCGGCAAAATAGAAAAAAAAGTACATTGTATCCGTTATATGCCATGTTGTATCATTCAGTATTGACATTTCATAATGAATTACTAATTTAGATTCTTTCGCTAATAATTTTAGCACAGAGGTTAAGAACAGAAAAAATATACAAGTTTTGCACTCTTAAGTAACCAATTGATATTTGTTCTGTGTTTATTATAGGTTTTTTGTTGTTAATTTAGCTGTGTATATGTTTCATTGGGGATAAAGTTTCTTAGAATTTTATTCATCAGAACTGCATAATTACTTCTGTCTGCTGATATTATTTGTTGATATTTGTGTTTGACTTTCTTGGTCGCTATATCAAATCCTACAAGAAGATTTTATGCTGAAGAAAAGCTATGATATGATGCAATAGGAGTCTTTTAATAAAAACATTCTTGTAAACTTGTAGGAAAGCATTTTGATTTTATGTACACACAGATTTGATAAATTTCAACGTCTAGATAAGATTTTAGTATGCATAAAGATATTAATATACCAAACTTTCACTATATTTTCAACCTTCTGACCTGCGTTTTATTGTTTTTGTTAGGAGATAATCAGTACTGTGTCAGAGAACAACATCAGGTGAGCTATAACGTTTTTTGTCATTGTTGTTGAGCTTGTATTGTGAAATAACATTTAGAAAAACAAGAAGCATTACGTGCTCTATGTATTTGTAAGGTATAAATAATGTTTACATGAAATAATAATTAAACATGCTTCTGTATTGTTATTTATATTTCTATAATTTTGTATCATCTAAAGCAACTGTGTTTTTGAAAACTTTTATTATTCTTTAAATAAGATTAGGAAGTCATTTAAACCTGAAATAACCAAAAAAGTCTTAATTATTATGATATCATTAAGCTTACAGTAGGCTTCTCATTGTTGACCCTTTCACTGCCGAATTTATAGATAAACAATGCTCCCAGTGTGAGATTAGATACACAAAAAATAAAGACACTTGTCCTAATATCTCATTACCTATATGAAACTAAAAAGTCCGAAATATGTGGATAATATCACAAACTATAGCAAAGGTTATGAAATATATTTTAAATAGAAGCTTAGCTTTAGATGTAATTTCAATTATGTTATTAAAACCATTGATTATTACTGATCAGGACTAAAAGATTATATCTTGCTGGTTTTGTTTACTTTGGTCAGCTTTATGTAGAACTCATTTTGAAAATGCGATTTTTACCCACATTTACTCTACTGCTTCCTATGAACTGCAACTTCATTCAGTTTGTAGAGATGGACTTTTGAGCAGTCTTACTTCTTTTCAGTGGCACATCTTATAACTGCTGATTTTAAATGGAGGGGCTAAGAGTCAAACTACAAAAAAAAAAAGCTACAAAATGTGTACTCCATATTGATCTATACTTTTGATGGTGCTGAAATTGGTTCTGTTTGTTATTTTTCTCAATATTTTTATAAAATCAAATTGTTCTGAAGAGATGGATATTAATGATACAGTATTATAATGATACACAGATGATATGCATATTCATATGTTAGAGTCTAGGACATCTTACATGTATGTGTTTGTAGATTTAGTAGAGCTTGAAAAAATATATATTATACTAAAGTATAATGTTAATTATTTTCTTTGTAGCAAGAAAATGTCACAGTGATGATGTAATAGAAATAGATATTTTTCATACATATATTTTCTGGTTAGTCTCTACTTACATATGAAAAATGAAAACTTTTTAACAGGATTTATCAGAACGGTGCACTTCCAGTGCTTCAGAAAGTCAGTCTTATTCCTATTCTGAAGGTGGTTGTCCGTTTTCTTACCCTATTTTGACCACTACCTGTTTCATTCCTGACATTAATGTTTGTTACATGCCCACTAATGATTATACAGATACAGAACAGTCTTTACCCAATTCACACTCAGAACCTCTCCAACCTACTTCACCTAATCCTTGCCTCTTGCAGGCCCTAAACCCTGTCTCTTTTCCAACCACCCAGCCTCTTGTCAATCCCGGCGGACAACCTGTTAGTTATGTACCATACCAGATTTACCCAGCAGTTGGGCCTGGAATTGGAGAAAACATCCCTTTTCCAGTGAACCTAAATTCTGCCAAATCCCAGGACCCTTCAGGCAATGACTTGCCATTAAGTGGTAAGGACATATCTAGTTTTCTGAATTATATGGTGTTTCATAAAGCATACATAAGAATTGGTTTCTGCAATTAAACCTTGCTATAAATTATCCTTTATCGTAATTATGTCACACACTTCTAATCAGTATGAATACTATTTTTGTGGGTATAGGTGCAGTGTTTTTTATCCAAAATTTTGACAAATAAAACTTAATACACATTTGGAATGCATCAACATTTTTGAAGTACTTTTGTCATCAGATAGAATCAGATTTATTCTTTTACTTCCACTATAAATTCAAAACCATGTATTAGATGTTCACTATTTTGAATTAATTTAATTCCAGTTGAAAATTGTTATAGTTAATTGATACATATTACGTGAAAACATAAATTTTCGTATAGGTACGAGATCAATTTTTGTTTCATTTAAAACCTTAAAATTCTTGAAGGAAATTAATTTAATTTTGATGTTAAATTAAAACTGTTTACATTTTTGAAGCAGATTTTACCTGTGAGTACTGTACACTTCTGTAACACATTAAGTTTTGGTAAGAAAATAATATTCAGTTTTAAATATTAAAACAGTAGCTTCATACTCAAGTGGATGGTTGTTAAGATCTTAAGTTAAAACATTAACTTTTCTTTGTGTATGTAGAATACATAACTGACCTAATACTATATTATCTTTAAACTTTTGCTTTTCTGGATAGATGTTGTTTTAATGCAGTCATTTGCCCCAAAATGGTTTGGAAACAAGTTTTCAAAAGAAGATAGATTTTAAAAATGCAATGAAACACAAAACTGTAGACATTACAGCTAAACCCGATTGTGTAAGAATATTCATTTCACTCCGTTGTAATCTTTAAAACTGTTTAAAAGTTCATACTGTAAGGATTGCTATAGAAATAAAATACTTAACAGAACTATTTTCAACTAAAATTTACACAATTTGGTGAAGTTAATTCAGAATAAAATATGGTGAAGAGTCTGTAAATAATTGTATGCTGAAGAATGAACTCAATGTCATTGCATTCTGCATTACTTGCACTAAACATTCAATTCTGCATTTTCAGTCTTAAGTTTTTAAAAGCTTTTAATTTCTTTGTATGATATAGGTCACAAAAACAGTTCTGTTTTAGATTTATGCAATTTTTTTTATCACAGACTTGTTCATTATTTTGAAAATTAGAACCAGATGTGGGCAAGTGGTTAGACTATACATGACTTTTGAGGATTCATGGTTTGCAAGCCTCATTTTGCAAACACATGTTCTGTACTTTGGGACTGTGAGTGGACTATAAGAGTAACAATCAAATCCTATTATTAAGTCAGAAAAGAGTTGCCATTGGGTACTGTTGACTGGTTACTGTTATTCTATCAGTTTAAAATTGTACAACTATGTATGAATATTAAAAAGAAATCATGTGGAAAAAAACCTTTTTTTTCTGTTTTTGTTTGAGAAAAATGAGAATCAGACTAAGATAATTTAGAAATCAGTTGGCTAATAATACTGTCAGAGTTTTAAAATAATGAAAAATTTATGCCAAAAATGTTGTACAGTATGTGATTTGAAAACGTGTATGTATATCAGAAACTAAACATCTACTTTTTTCTTTCAGACCTGCCAACTGTCAGGTTCTTCTACAACTTAGGATGTGATGTGAGCACATAGCTCTTTATTTTACAAACATTAATTTATTGTGTTTTATGGGCAACATTTTTAACTGGCAACATTTTCTGTTTATTATTAATTGTTGCACAACTTGAATAGCAATAGAAATTAAGAATTAAATTAAAAGATCTAATTAGATTTCATTTTGTGATAGATTGTAATTAAAATAAAATTGAATTCATCTGATGTAAACTTTAGTTTTCCTTAGTTGTAGTAAAAGTTCTCAAAATGTATTGTCAACTTTTTCATAGTTTCATAACTGTTCAATAAAGCAAAATGTAAATTTAATAATGGTACTTTATCCATTCGAAATTTAACTGGATTGTGAATTAACTGTTTTCAACTTTTTGTTGATTTTGTTTTGTTAATATTATTGCTCTAAGTAAAACTATCATTAGCTGAAACATAGCTAATGCTTCAAACCCTAACGTTTAGAAAAAGGCTGGAATAAACACTGAATAATAATAATAATAATACACCACAATACCAGTTGTTTTAGGGATTGTTGTATAGATGAGGCTAATCAAAGCTAAAATAAAATACAAATAACAGTTGTGTTCTCCCACTTTTACAGTATTATCGACAATCTGCAGGAGCCCCACCTGGTGGTCAGTTGCCAACATACCCCATGTGGACATGCAATGGTATTACTTACTGTACTTTTGGTGTACCATTTCCAACTGCTCCAATGACTGGGACAGAGAACTATGGATATTCAGTAGAAGGAACAAACATTAACCCTGTTGGAGTTAATGGTATATCTTGGAATTTCTAAATAAACAATTATGTATGTCAATTTTTTAAGGGACCGTAGTGTATCAAATGCTTTTGGAAAACAGGTAAAGTTACCCTTTAAAAGTTTCTGGCCTTGGGGTGAAACTTAATCAACCTGAAAACAAATTTCTTGAATAGGTCAACTCTTATGGTTCTTGCCCCCCAGTGGCACAGCGGTATGCCTGTGGACTTGATACCTGTGGTAGGCAGAGAACAGAGAGCCCTTTGTGTAGCTTTGTACTTAATAACAAACAACAACTTATGGCTCTTGTATACAATGTTATAAGAAGATCATTTCCTTAGTTTAGCGAGGAAAAAAAATCAAGCCTGACTTGCTTCTCTTTTTACTTTAAAAAAATTTTAATATTCTGTTGACAGTTTCTAATAGCTTAAATGTTTCATTTGAATCATGTGACACGACTAAGGTGATATTGCCAGTGGGAGAAAGTCAACTTATTTTCTACAGATGAATAACAATAACAGTAAGGTCTACAATAGTTTATAAATTTCATAGTGCTTGAAAACAAAGTTCAACAAATATTTTGAATTGAATTACTTTTTTCCTTGTATTAAAATTCTAGTGCATGCATGTGGATGTGACAAGAATTCATTAAAAAAATATCAACTTAAAAAGTGTAATAGGTTTACATAATTCAATCTACATACATATATTATTTTTCCCTACAGGTATGTATAGTAACATTGTGCAACCAGTGGTGTCACTACCGTCTGGGCTTGCTGGTCAATCAGTCATCGTTAGTAACCAAACACCATCCTTGCAAGCTGGGTATTTTTATCCTTTTCAGCCTCTTCCCTGTACCACTACCACTGGATAGACTGTGTCCAAACATTCTTAAAAATGTGATGTTTGAGAAGGGTAAAAATGCACTATATACAGGGACTTGAATATGTATAATTTATACTGCTATTCGCTCATGTTACTTTTTTGCAACCATTTTCATCTCAGTGATATGTTACATAATTTATTTACAAGTTTATTAAAAGGCACTGAAAATTCCAGCCTTTCCAAGGTGCCTGATCAAGCTGCTTTTTTTTTGTTGTATACAGTTTATCTTATTGTTATATTGCAAACTTTCAGCATCCAACCATACAGTTTATTTTCAACCAAATGCAACATTCTTATATTCATGATATAGGCAGGAAAAAGTCATGTTACCTAGGGTTATTAACAGAAAAATGTGATACATTTGTAACATTAGTAAACAAACAATTTAACATTATTATTTTTTGACTGTTTCTTGCAATTTAATCATGTTGCTTTGAGACACCTCAAGTATATATGCAGTATTTGTGAAGACAATATAAAAAAATATAGAAATGTTAGGGGAAAAAATTCTTATGTAATACCTAATACTTAAGCAAACCTGTTCTACACAAATAGGATAGCAAATTAATTTGAATTTGTAATGGTGAACACAGTAATCTCTTTAATTCTGATCTTAATTCTTTTACATTTATGTTTATAAAATTTATTGATGGATGACATTTGATATAGTTTCAAAACAGTCTTATATCTTGATCTCATATTGTTTGACATTTTTAGATTTTTTAATCCGAATTTTAAAGGTGATATTAATGTAGAAATAAACATAAAAATAAAATTACCAATCAGGCCTTTTTTTGTGGCAATAGCTTACTGTTTAAGAAAACATTTAAACAATAATAAATAGTTTTATCTAAAATAAAAAACAAACTTGCTAAATAAGTACACCAATTTTAAAGAACAGGAGTAAAAGTTCCGTTGAGTGAAGAAATTGGCTGTTGAGATCTAGAAATCTGACTTTGTGACCAGATACTGAACCAAATGATTTGTATTAGAATTGATAGAATAAGTTAGATTATAATCATTGAAAATCAAGATATTTTTTAAGGTGGCTATTTTAGGTGTGTATTAATGCTCAATGTGTATTATGTTGTTATAGTAAGTTCTCAATGACATAGTAACTTCTCTGTAAAATATGTTGTGACTTGTGGTCTGTCTACTTTAAATCTATGGCAAATTATATTGAATTAAAGTTTTGAAAACTATTTGACACTATTCCACTAATTAGGAGTTGATTTTGCAAATTGATAGGGAGTTCTTACTTTCTTTATCAATTTACAAGTGATTGGTCATTGTTTTTATCTTGTAATATCACGTATTTTGAGTATGAAGATAAGAGAATATCACAGCTTTGAGTTGTTTTGGTAAGAAACTGTATGTTTCTAAACAGCAGTGTGAAAATATAGTGAAAAATCTAACAAGACAAAAGTGTAGGAAACTAAGAAACCACATTTGAAAGGTGTGGTGTAATAGAACTCAGATTTTGTGAAATGTGCAATTATGTATATTTTGTTTTCTAGAGTTAATATAGACTGTTTATTATGTATAGTTTTTATTATGTCCATCTGTTGTCATTTTATTGTTAACTGTTTTAATAATGTCCAAAATTAGAATTTCTTAAGTTGTATATATATGATTATAGTAGGTAAGTTAGATAGAGATGAAGGAGACATACTTTGAAATATTTAAAGGGTAAATGTTTTTCAAAATGTAAAGTATGGGTTTTTAGTACCATAAGATTTTCTCTTCTCTGTGATGTCAAATTGCAATACTGTTTAGTTTTGTGAGTTGGGTTCTATAGGTAAAGACACCTGTATGGTTTTTGTTCTACATTATTTCAGCTAAACGAAGCTGTGATTTTGTGCAATTTTCTTGTATATTTATTTGTAGAGATTGTTTTCAGTGCTTTATCTTGTGTGATGCAAGGTGTTAGTTGACAAATTCACCTACCTCCATTTAATTGAATAATAAATTGGTGTTGTAGTTTTTTTCAATAAATCAAAATAGCTAACTAGGTAAGAGAAATGGTGAAAATAAATGATCTGCACTTGGGTGATAAAATCATGTTTGTTTACCTAAGTTAATCTTAAAAATGAAAATAAGATATTGTTTAGTTTTCAAGACTTTTAAAAGGTTTTGGATTATTAGCAAGCAAACTTTTATATGTATCTAACAAACGCTGTTTATTAACTTGCAACAACTGGAGAAAGTATTGAAAACAATATTATAGCGAAAAATAGAAAATATTTATTTAGACAAAAGACTGTCAAGATGTTTTATTTTTGTAATAAAAGAAATAAATTATTTAAACGTATTCTTCTTACGTGTCTTGTTATTGTCAGTAACTATTTGGCAATTTATACAAGACACTGTCAGAAATTAAAATTCATTTTCTTTTTTGGAATCGTTCAAAATAAACAGAAATTACTGAACAAATTGGTTTCTTGAACCTACTTTTAAAATGCAACTTGGTATTAAAGAATTTCATTACATCTGATAAACAAAAATTGAATATGTTCCTATGGGTTGTGGGAATGTCTGAAATTTAAATGTAAAGTGACGAAATTCGTTAATTTGAGAGTCTCCATTAAGGTTTTGCCGTTTAATATTTTTTTTTATAAATTTTTGTTTGTAAGATACAGACTTTTGTCATCTTGTTCTCCGCCAACCCGTGGCTCAACGTTAAGTCTGTATGCTTACGACACTAAAAGTAGGGTTTCGATACCAGTGGTGGGAAGAGCACAAATAACCCATTGTGTAGCTTTGCTCTTAACAAGAACCGAACCAATATAATGTTCTCCACAAGATACCTTTAGAATGAACATTCCACCAAAATTGGATCATTGGCTAATGTAACAATTTTATCAAATTAGACAAATATATTTGATATTTCTGAAATAAGTCGATGCCGAGCAAAACTACAGTCGAGTCTTGTAATTTCTGCGAGTGCAATAATAATAATAATGTAACTACTTATAGAAGTCCACGTGTCCTCACTCAACTCGCCAGCTCCGAAATCCGAGAGTTCTATCACGTGCCAAACTGCGCCCTTGTGACAATTACGAATGGAAACTTATCTGAGCCAAATCCTGCAGTCTTAGGGTGGCTGTTTCGAGAATGTTGGGCTTCAAAATGTTCCATGTAGAGGTTACTAAATGTTGGTGATAGGGGTGAGCTGATGGCTAGGATTTTAAGAAGCCAAGATAGAAAATTTGGGAATGCAGTACAGTTATAGCAAAACATTCATGTAAAATCTATTGTTACATTGATTTATGTACCATACGCCTTGTACTGTTTGGCTAAGTTACCTTGTTACTCACATATCAATTACACATAAACGTGAAAGACACATTCAAGTTCCAAAATTTATTTCACGACTACAAACGTAAATCGTGCAAAGATCGATTGCGGTATTTGTATATAAGTGATGCACGTGCAGTAAAGCTAGAATGTCAGATTGTTAACACGAAACTAACCAAAAAGCCTTAAAACGGTAAACACCGGTGCTTCACGTTCCTGAACTTCTTTTAAACTGTCATCGTAATCTTAAGATTTACTTACTAGTGTTCCTTTTGATAAGAAAGTTGAACTAAGTTTTAAAACTGTAATCGCCGGAGCTTAATGTTCAAGAAGTGGTTTAACTCTCATCATCATCTAACGATTTACAGAGCTCCATCTCGAAATAAAGCAGAACTAAATTTATCAACTTTACGGTAGTTATTCTTGATTATGAGCAGGACTTCACTCAAATAACTGAATAAAAAATTATCCGTTATATATATATGTTTTTGGACCCGGCATTTTCAGGTGGTTAGGGCACTCGACTCGCAATCTGAGGGTCGCGGGTTCGAATCCCCGTCCCACCAAACATGCTCGCCCTTTCAGCCGTGGGGGCGTTATAATGTGACGGTCAATCCCACTATTCGTTGGTAAAAAAAGTAGTCCAAGTGTTGGCGGTGGGTGGTGATGACTAGCTGCCTTCCCTCTAGTCTTACACTGCTAAATTGGGGACAGCTAGCGCAGATAGCCCTCGTGTAGCTTTGCGCGAAATTCAAATCAAACAATGTATGTTTATGGCACAGTACAATAGAAGTCTAATAGGCAAAACTCAGGGAACATCACCCGATAACATAATTAAAATATACAAAACATACATTCGACCTATAATGGAATATGCCAGCCCGGCATGGATAAATACAGTTCCAAAACACATAAACAAATTACAAAGAATCCAAAACACACTAATTACCTCTGCATACAGAGTCCCCCGTAGCACCTCATCAAAATTCATGCACAATTATGCAAATATACAAACAGTAGTCGATAGACTCTTGCATAATACTATAAATTACTTTAAGAAAAATTGGCAAAAAACGACCTACTTTGTGAGCTCGACCGTTATTACATACATGATGGAAGTAGACCTAGATACCTCTCGCCACTTAACATTTATTTTAAAATGAAAGATGTGATCAGGCCACCTAATGTCAGACGTATAAACCCGACACTAGTTAGAGACTAAAAATAATATATTTAAAGGGTATTATATGTAAAATATGTTCGATTAGTCTCTGACTAGTGAAATGTGTAATTTGCATTATGGACTCTAGTAGCGATTGCAAAACACAGAATGTGACTATAATACATACATGGACATTGCCCTGAAAGGGGTCGGAGCAAGTGCGGTTTACTCCGACCCTCTTGTAGTATTAACACTCAACATTCAAGGACGACCTACCATGGTTCGGAAGGGAGGATGAGGTCTCAGAGTACCTGACCCTCCTAGGTCACAAAGACCTAAATTCCGATTAGGAGAGAGGAGGCACAGTACAAATTGTACATCGAAGAAAGAATGTGTACGTGAATAGCATCAAAAACTTCAGTCATGATATTTAACTTGGGAACACCCTGTCTTCAAATTACTAAACACGCTGCTTGGAGTGGATTTGTTGACAGACATGGAAGAATGCGCATTTTATTTATATATTGTCTTTCATGTATATATATTTTTTTATCATCACTATGGTCAGCCTACTTACAACGCATTTTCGTTAGAAACACAAGTCTGTGAGAATATATTTTTTATTTATAATTTTTGTCGCGTTTTATCCACTCCACTTGTTTATTGGTGAAGACTTCCCTGACTCGTAGTCGTAGGGGTGCGAGTAAAAATAGCATTTCACCATCCGTCTTTTATCTCTCTCACAAGGCAATGTTAGAAATCCGTAAATAATGGACACATTAAAAGGTGTGCCAAACAAATTTGATGCGTTATTTTTACCACAAAGAATATTAGATTAGATATTTGTATTTCAAAGTTTCGGCGTTTAATACCGTAATGTGATAGTAATTCCCATTAATCGTTCGTACAAGAGTAGTTCAAGAGTTGGCGGTGGGTGGCGTTGACTAGATTTAAACTTAGAGACAGCTAGCGCATATAGCCCACGAGTAGCTTTGCGCAAAATTAAAACCAAACAAAAGAAAAACGGAACAAATGAAATTGTGGTTGGAACGCAAATTTTAACGACACTTGAAAAGACAAGTTGTAAAGACCAGGCTGAAAAACCTGTGTACGTTTTATTTATTTATTTTTTAACGAAAAACTTTGATCATTTGTAAACTTTAGAGTGAAATACACAAAATAGGTTAAGAACATAAAACTTTTTTAACTGGCAAAAACTGATTAAACGTTTTTTTTTTTAGAATACGCAAAACTAGTAAATTATACCTATGCAT